AATCAGTTGTTCCATATCCAGTTCTAACTGTTGCTTCTTGTCCCACATATAGATTTCTCAGGAGATAGGTAAATTGGTCAGGCACTCCCATTTCTTTAAGAACTTGCCATAGTTGTTGTGGTTGACACAGTCAAAGGCTTTTGCATAGTCAATGAAGCAGAAGTAGATGTTTCTCTGGAACTCTCTGGCTTAAATAACATAGGTACTTGTAACTCATTACTGAAAGGGGTAATGAGGAAGTAACTACTTCAGATTTCAAAGGTAATGTGTAGAAATTGTGTTATACATCTTTGGTGTAACAAATCACATTTTCCATTTACTAATAACATTAAATTTAAAAGGCATTTTAAAAAAGCATTTCAAGCAGAATTTGCTCCCTTTATGCTATTCTCTTACTAATTCTAAGCCTTTTTCTCCAAAGGTAATGAGAAACATACTAAGTGGATAGCAATTAACTTTTGAGGGAGCAATACTAATAGTAGCAAATTATTGATGTATGTGTATTACACGTTTGTTAAAAAATTAACTGTGCAACCTCTGGTAAATAATCCATATATCATAAAATGCCAATCAGTATTCAGTAACCTCATTCCAAAGAAATTAAGCTCTGAGAAAACCATTCAGACCTCTTGGCATCTTGGCTATTCAGAAAAGTGGAATATGAACTTGTAGAAAATTTACAATATAGGTTCATACAATACTTTTCATGTAGTATTTAACAGTGAGACAGATATTTTTTACACATACCCAAAACTTTAGAGGCAATGATACACACCACATATTCTTAGGTTGCCATTTTAAAACAAATGGATTGAATCTCTTTAATTTTTTTAAATCATCATTCTTGATACAATTGTTTGGCTTGACCCTAGAAGCTGTCTGCTTGCCAGAAAGATGATGGGTTCACTTACATGTTTAGCAAAAACTGCATTCCATGCCATGCTTGAAATACCCCCGGAGTGATCCGTCCAATAAGGTTGCCACTGAGATTTCTGGGAGGGGAAACAGAAATGAGAACTATGTATACAGCATTCTACAAAACACACAGAGACGAAGACATTCACAGAGAGAAAAAAGAGGAGGCAAAGAAAGTAAGATTCTGGGAGGGGAAACAGAAATGAGAACTAGGTATACAGCATTCTACCAAACACACAGAGACGCGGACACTCACAGAGAGAAAAAAGAGGAGGGAAAGAAAGTAAGAAGAGAAGGAGGATAGTGAGCCGTCCTCAACTATAGGAACATCCCAAACAGAAAAGGGAATAAAAGAAGGAGAGATGAATGAGCAAAAAGATGTATCAATAGAAGAAAGGAAAGGGGCAGATGAGACAGGAGGTAAAATAGAAGTTTGCCTAGTGGAGAAAGAAGGGATAGAAAAAAAAGGAGGAGTTAAAAGTATCAGTATGGGAGGAAAGTATAAAGGAGGAGGGGGAACTGTGGTTTGGGAGTAAGAAGAAAAGAGGATGGTGATGAAGGAGGAGAAGAAAGATGGGAGAGGAATAGACTCCACTTATGAAAAGGCACGCGGACTCTTGAAGGACTTCCCTAACCTAAAGTTCAGTGGTGTGTTACCTGATCCAGAGGTGAGAGGAATAGACTCCACTTATGAAAAGGCGCACAGACTCTTGAAGGACTTCCCTAACCCAAATTTCAGTGGCGTGTTACCTGATCCAGAGGTGAAGAAGGAAGGAGAAGCAATATATGAGACTCTAGAATGGACAGTTATTGTTTTCCCAAAGGGACGAGGGCATGGAAGGAAAGTGATCCAGCCAAATCAAACATACAACCAGCCCCCGAAGGAAGGGGACTGGGCTCGACACCCATGCTGCGGCACAATATGTGCAGTACGGAGTGCCCCTCTTCGGAATCCCATGGATTGGGAGCGATTTGGGCCAGCCCCTCAGTGAATTATCCTAACCTACAAGAAAAGTTTTCATCATTGAGTTACGGACTTTTGCCGGAGTTGTCTTGTTTCGACCCGACTGAAGTGGTTGTAGAGATGCCAAAAGTTTTCGAACCGCTCTCAGTCATCATTTCCCGCCAAAACTGTGGAACTGCTCCAAGCTTTAAATGAACCCAATCACACATATTTTTCTGTGTATAAGACACACCCATGTATAAGACACCCCCGTTTTCTAATCCAGAATTTCTTTCTTCACAAGAAAGTGGAGGGGGAAGGCAGGGATCAAAGCTCTTTGATTCCTGCTTTCCCCTTCCACTTTCTAGTGAGGAAAGTGGAGAGGGAAAGCAGGAATGGCTTTGATGAATTGCTTTGATCATTGCTGCTTTCGCCCTCCACTTTCTTCACTCCACTTTTTGATGATTGCTGCTTTCCCCCTCCACTTTCTTCACTCCACTTCCCAAGAAAGTAGAGGGGGAAAGCACTTTCCTCGCAAGAAAGCATCAAAGCACTTTGATTCCTGCTTTCCCCCTCCACTTTCTAGCGAGGAAAGTGCTTTCCTCCTCCACTTTCTTTGCAAAAAGTGGAGGGGGGAAGCAGGGATCGAAGCGCTTTGATCCCTCCCCCTCCGTATAAGACGACCCTAAATTTTTAATCTACATATTTTAGAGAAAATTATCATCTTATACACAGTAAAATACAGTAATTCAGTTTTTGTATCTACTGTATGTTAGATAATGGATATGAAATTGCCAATAATCTACATATTTTAGAGAAAATTATCATTTTATACACAGTAAAATACGGTAATTCAGTTTTTGTTTCTATGTTAGATAATGGATATGAAATTGCCATAAGGAATCACTGCAGCAGACTTCTATTTTTCTTTGATGGAACAGTGTGCTGTTAAACATTTATCATTAGAACCTGCTTCTATGGTCCAAGCTAGCTATTAAAGAGAATGCATGTGTCCTCCATTTAACTAATTTTTCTATCCCACATTGGGATTTCTTTAAAGAAACTTGCCTTAACTATCAGGGCAAATGAAACATTCATCCACACACCAATTACTAATCTAATGGTATGACATATAGACATCTTCCAACTTATCAGGGAACACATCTTCTAAACCCATGCTAAGTGTATGATTCTGTTTTGACTATGACACACTCAGTTACCAACTTTTCTCCTCACTGAAGCTCTTGCACATATTTTCGAGGCATTCCAATGCTCACATTTACTTGGTGACAACTTTCTCTTAACTCCAGTGATGGGGAAGCTTATGTTAAACCTCCGTAAATCTACATTTATATAATATAGATGTCAGAAGCACTTGGGTATATATATATTTTCATACACAAAGGCTGTATTCTGGCACTGATAATCCTGAGTCTTCATCTTGCCTTGGTACATCAGAATTCAGCCCAGAATTATGTTATAGACTAGAGCATAGAATTGCACATGACAGGGTATTTTTTGAATATAAACAAAGGGCATTTGACCCTCAAGGGTAACAAACTCCCTTCTAGAGTCATGAAGCAAGGTTTCTACAGAGTATAGATCTCCTTGCAGGCATCAACCCTATCTTCCCCAATTTTTAGAAAGGCTAGAAACGATCTCCAGGATGGAATTTTGATAGATTCAAGACTCTGGGACAGAAAACCATTCCATCCCAGCTATCCCCACTTCAGTTATTTTATGCCTAGCAACTTACATAAATTGCAGAAATGGGACAGGTTCGAATGCATTCTTCTCAATGACCTTGATTTTATTAGACGATAAGTCCCTGGAAAAAAAATAATGCACAGATTTAAAGTTAGAGATGAGATTAGTGGCTATCCTTGCCCTTCCCGGCATGTGATTTGCCTCCTTAAAAAAAAACACACACATGAAAGTCCTCCTGGTCATTCACCATTGATACAGGGCAGCAATTGGTACAACACAAAGTGCCACCATACGTGAGCTTGTGGGGTCAGCCCTACTATTAGGTAGAGTGTAGCAGAAAGATTAAATTACCAATCCAGCTAGCTTTTTTTAAAAAATGGAATAGGAAGGGCAACATGATCATCATCATGTTCCTCCCCTCAGAAAGCAAAATGTTTTGATAACTCTGTCCGTTCACTGCCATGCATAACAGACAGGCTAGCGTTATTGTTCATCCCTGTACCTAATTTGCACCTTGACCCATTTTTATTTACACCATTGCAACAGTATTCCCATGACAACAGAACAGAACCCCTTATGTAGAGTATTCAGACATCATGGCAAGAATTCTGAGTTCTTGAGAATTCTGGCTTACAGTTCCCAGAATCCTTAGTGAGTATGGCTGAGGTTGTATTTTTGAAGTACCAGGCATGAGTGACTGAACAACTCATGGGCCTTGACTCCAAAATGTTTTTTGTCACTGTGGCCACACAAACCATGAAACTCCTCTTTCATAAGGAGGAAAGCTAAGGCCAAGAGTCACCCAAAAACATTAAGAGAATTAATGAGTGGATTAGAGATCAGTCTGTGTATCTGTCCTTATATATACTTAAAACTATTGCCATAAGCCAGTATGAAAATTTTAAAAAATAAGTTTGGCTTATAAGGCAAGCAGAAGAGAGCCTTTTTCTCTTACTGATTGGCTGCCTGGGAGGAGTTTTTTTAAATGCAGTCTTGTTTCTTGTTGCTTTGAATGTGCTTTTGGTAGTGATTTTGTTTGCCATTTTAATGTGCTTTTTGTTTAATTCTTTTAAAATATTTGTATTCTTACTGTTTTTAGCTTTTAAACATTGCCTTTTAATGATGTAAGCTGCCTTGGGTCCTTTTTAAGAAGAAAGGCGGGGGTATAATATATATATATATATAAACATACATTTTTGAAGCTCTAATATCCCTATTAGTACATTATTACACTGCAACACATGAATTACATTAAATTACATATAATTTTATAATCAAGGAGAGAGATTCAGCAATGAAGTGTAAAGTATTATCACTGCCTGTACAATAAAAATATTTTCTTTTTCCTTATGAGAAGCAGCCAAACATTATAGCATCATTATTTAACAGAGTCATAGAGGTAAAGGTAAAGGTTCCCCTTGACAATTTTTGTCCAGTCGTGTTCGACTCTAGGGGGCGGTGCTCATCCCCGTTTCCAAGCCATAGAGCCAGCGTTTGTCCGAAGTCAATCTTCCATGGTCACATGGCCAGTGCGACTTAGACACGGAACGCTGTTGCCTTCCCACCGAGGTGGTCCCTATTAATTTACTTGCATTTGCATGCTTTCGAGCCGCTAGGTTGGCGGGAGCTGGGACAAGCGACGGGCGCTCACTCCGTTGCATGGATTCGATCTTACGACTGCTTGGTCTTCTGACCCTGCAGCACAGGCTTCTGCGGTTTAGCCCGCAGCGCCACCACGTCCCTGTCATATAGAGTCATATAGAGTCATACAGAGTCATATAACTAGCTATAAATATAATTCTGAACTGCCAGTTAGAATTCAAATAAGGTGCTGCTGAAAAAGTGAAACTTACAGGTGCGTGAGTGAAAGCAGTCCGTCCAGAGAAGTGTTCTTCAGCTCGCTCAATCTGTTGCCCTTGAGAACCCTAGAGTGGCGCAGGAAATTCTGAGAACTTTAAAGACAAGACTTCTGCCTTAACAGATTGGACATAACCACCCTACTTACCCTTTTGCATTCATAAATTCCAGACCAGATTGTGGAAAAGTTACTTTTTGTTCTATAACTCCCAGGTGCCCATGTAGTGGTCCTCAACCTTGGGCCTCCAGATGTTCTTGGACTACCAATCCCAGAAGCCTTCACCACCACCTTGGCTGGCCAGGATTTCTGGGAGTTGAAGTCCAAGAACATCTGGAGGCCCAAGGTTGGAGACCACTGAGTTAGGGGACTCCTAGAATTGTAGCCCAAAAAGTAATCCCACCACCATCAAACGTTGTTTCAGACCAGCTGCATTCTTGTGCAAAGAGTAGCCCCAAGTAGAGACATTTATCTCCCTGCCGTGTGAGAAGATATTTCCATGAGTTTGATATTGGCCCAAATCTGTCTGACAATAGGGTCAGGGAAGGTATTATTTCTTCCACATCGTAAACAGAAGCAGAAAGTGCTTCTTTGTATGGATCCCTAGCGGTAGGCTGAGATGACATTACCTTTAAACATAAACACAACATGCCTGTTGAGATGTCATTCATTCCTGTACCTAATTTAAGCAGAAAGTGCTTCTTTGTATGGATCCCTCGTGGTAGGCTGAGATGACATTACCTTTAAATGTAAACACAAACATGCCTGTTGAGATGTCATTCATCCCTGTACCTAATTTGCACCTTGACCCATTTTCATTACACCATTGCAACGGCATAATACTCTCCATGCTATGAAAGTTGTACTACTACTAGTACTACTAGGCAAAGCTAGACATAGGAACATCTTGAGCAATCTGGAAGAGAAACTAACATAATTATTTCTGAACTAGGTTCCGAATATAGTTAAAATGTAGTTGAATTTATTAATTTCCAAAGCTCTGAAAGCACTCAAGAAGACCTTCCACTATATATTCAATTAATCTGCCACACAACTAACTCTCCCAGACAGTGTTTACCTTGACCTAGACAGCTCACGATTATTCTCATTGTCAATAACATTTAAAAAATAAAAATAAATTCCCAGTGATTTAGGGAAACTGGCCCAAAACCAAGCCAGAAATTGGTACATACTATAGAATCCAAACAGGAGTAAATAATACTCACAAGTACTCAGCCCAAGGGTAGGCTCTCCACACATGTTTTCCAATGGAAGAAATTGCATTATCAGTGAAGTCTCTGAGGAAACAAATTAAGAGTGATACAGATCAAGGAGATTCTCCTATGTAGGATTAACTTCAAGTAGGCACCCAATGAAACCAGTGTTGTGCTTGTAAATCATGACGGAGAAGTGCTTAAAATGGCAATCTCTGTACCTTGGAATGATGATGTTCTTAGAAAGAAACTTACAAAGTCTACCAAAATTGGTAGATGGAAGATTTTGACAATTTTAGGCTGAAAAAGCCATTTTCCTACACTCTGTTCTGGCCACCCTTCCAAGAAGAGCTTTTTTTAAAAGTAAATATTTGAGTGGATCCATATCAATAAATGAGTTCTAACAGTTTCCATTTCCACAAGCTGGTATTTTGTAAAGCTAGTGGTTCCTAACTGTTAGTACAAAACCAAGACATCCCAAATTACCTGGCATAGCAACAAAGATTATTGCTATTATTCCACATCCCCACTACTGTCAGCACTGCAGGAAAGTTCCAAAGACACTCGGAAGGAGTAGCAAATTGTACCATCGAAACATCTGTGTGATTCATCCCAATGGGCTCCAGATCTGCTACTGAGCAAATCCAGTTTCTATTACATGTGTTTTACATTTCTTTGACCCACTGGAAGCAGTTAATTTCTAGAGCTACAGTCACTGAACCCTCCACTTGTATTCTTAGGTTTGTGAAGACAAGGTGAAGTTATTTTAGAAGAAATGGATTCCACCCATGCTGAGGTCTCACATTTTCAGTATTGTCTTTAAAATCAGATCATAAGAAGGAAGTAGTGCTGTGATCCAGACCACTTCTTCTAAACTCCTTTGTCTCCCTCTGATCCCATTGCTTCTTCATTGAACAGATATGGATAACAACCTTTTCCTGGCATGGTTCCTTCACCATTAACAACTGCACAACAGGCAAAACCCCAACTGTTGATCTCAACGGGTACAATGTTTTGAATACCATTGCCTTATGAAGCATGTATGTTTGTATCATCTCTGGTGGAAGAAGATAGTTGCTTCGTGTTAAATAGAGTGGAGGAGTTCATTTTAATAGTCCCTCCCCCACAGCTAAGCCCCACAACAGAAGAGTTCAAAAAGTTTGGGCAGTTCAGTTCAGCCATATCAACAAACCCATTCCAGCCATTTCAAAGCCAGCAGGAGTACTTTGTGCAACAAATGGGTCTTTGCTATCTATTCAATATCAAGTCACCTCAAAATATCAAAGAGCCATGGCACTTAGTTGCAGAAGAAAAATATCCTTTGCCTTCTGCTTCTGTGAGGTTTACAGCTATGATGAGAGAGAACATAGAAGCTAACATCCTTGTTCTTGTTAACCAAGCAGTACCAGCTCAAACACTGCTTTCATAGTACTAGAAATCCCCATGTTTCTAATATAACTGGGCCCTGTTCCCTTTGGTTGTGTTAAACTGGGTGGTAAAGGTTCCCCTTGACATTTAGTCCAGTTGTCTCTGACTCTAGGGCACGGTGCTCATCCCCGTCTCTAAGCCGTAGAGCCAGCGTTTGTCTGAAGACAGTTTCTGTGGTCACGTGGCCAGTGCGACTAGACATGGAACACCGTTACCTTCCCATCGTGGTGGTCCCTACTCGCATTTACATGCTTTCGAGCTGCTAGGTTGGCAGGAGCTGGGACAAGTGACGGGCACTCACTCCATCACGTGGATTCGATCTTACGACTGCTGGTCTTCTGACCTTGCAGCACAGAGGCTTCTGCGATTCAGCCCGCAGCGCCACCATGTCACCTGGGTGAATACTTTTTAAAGGCAGATATACATGCTGTATAGCTTTTGACATATATAAAACAGATTTTCTTCTAGAATCCTTCCAGATACTTAAGAATAAAGTGTCTTCCCTGTCTACCCCGATCGATTGATTGATGGCATCCTTCAGTCTCGAAAGACTATGGTATTGTGCTCTGTATCAAGGACTTGGAACAGAGTCTAGTGTGGCTGAGAAGGCCAATTCGAGAGTGACAATCCCTTCCACACTGAAGACAAATCCAATCTGTCCCCTGTCCAGCTCCCTGGTTTTGCTGCTTTCGTAACTGCCTCTTTGCCTCAGCCTGCTGGACAAGGGTCTGTCTACCCCACCTGCATATTTAATAACAAAAAGCCGAATTTGTAGAGAGATTTCATCTTCGGTGTTCTGAGAGTGGGGTAACTGGAGCCCAGATACTAATAACATGTATGTGCCATCAAGTTGATTCTGACTTAGAGTAACCCTGTAAAGAATTCAGACATGGTTTACCAACTCCTGTAGGTAGTGTTCTGGGACTTCGCAAACTGCCTAATGTTAGAGCAGATGGCAGGGCATGCAACGTGCTCTGGATGATTTGGGCTAATTTTATTTCCCAAAGCCACTGTAAAGATTCAAACCCCAGACCCCTGGTCCCACAACCAAGCACTCGCAGGTACTTACAAGAAGAAAAAAACACGGGGATGTCCATAAGGTTTGGGAAATGGCACACGGTGGAGTCCAGGGGGGTTGGTGGTCCTGCTGCAGTTGAGGATTTCCAAGGTACAATGACATGGGGTTGGGCAAGGCTCTATGGCTGCATCCAGCCTTCCAAAGGACACCAGTGTAGTTACGAGGAACAGATAAATATTAGAGGGAGCAACAGTGCCCATGCTGTAGAGGAGACTCAAGGCCCCACTCCGCCCCCCCTTGCTCTTTTGACCCCAGTAGAGGATGTCTTGGCAAATGGCAGCCACTCCATGCAGATATAGAGTCACATGACCACTTCATTCTGCTCAGTTGTGACATCATATTAACATCACTCCTGGACCTAGCACCACAGAATTTCTGTAACCAATGGCAACCATATACATATGTATATCTGTAGACCCAATTTCATACCCAGTGTTAGATGTGTTTCAGGCTTAACATGATTGATAATCACACTTTTGGGGTTGTTGTGATAAAGAATGATCTAAATTCTAATGTTCAAGGTGGTAGTATATTATTGTGTTGTACATTTGGGGAATTAGTCTTAATGGCCTGCCTATTTTATTTCTCCATCTCTTTAACTAAATACTGTCATACATCACTGGCACTTAGTGAAGACTAAGTAATATCTTTTTACTTACCCAGAGTTAAGCTGCCCCGAGTAGACATGGTCTAGAGCACTGGTTCTTAACCTTGGGTTACTCAGGAGTTTTGGATTGCAACTCCCAGAAGCCTTCACCACCAACTGTGCTGGCTGGGGTTTCTGGGAGTTGTAGTTCAAAAACATCCGAGTAACAAAGGTTAAGAACCACTGGTCTAGAGGGGCGGGGGGGAAATCCAAAAAATAAATAAATTAATTAAGGAACATGGAAAAGAAGATAACAATTTCCTTTTCAAAAAAAGGCTTGCACACGGGGATGCCTAACTGGATCTCTATATAAAAAAAGGCTCACATTTTTATGTCAGGAACAAACGGCGGCAGCCTTTGAATGAAAGAAACACAGCTGATGTTTTACAAATACAATAAATTTATTAGAAAAAATATAAAAAACGAATACCTCTGGCCCCCCCCAAAAAGTCCTTCTCAAACATAATAAGGCAATTATAGTTTACTCATCTGACAGATGTTGCTTCACAAAAATTCTATCCGAAGAGAAACATTTTCTAAGTGACATTAACGTGCTTTGGGTGAGGAAAGTTGTCCTTCGGGACCACAGCGAGGAAAAACGTGACAGGTGTCAAACAAACGGTCCTGTTCTCCATCCATGCTAAAATCTGATCGAATCTCCTCTCCTCCTATGGGGTTTTGGGCTGAGAGTGATAGATCAAGTCACCTGGGAAGGAAAGAAGGGGCTTGTTGGTTACTCTGCAAAAGGTGACAAACCAGTTCCAGTAATGCCTCTCTGCGTGGGGTGTTTTACGGTAAAAGCTGTTTTGCAAGCTCACAGCACAGCCCCAAAGCAACGGGGCTGTTTGGGCGTCTTGTCTCTCTTTTTCTACCTAAAAAGCGAATGCAAACTTTTTTTCTGCAGAAAAACTACGGTACTGTACACTTAGGCCCCCCTTGGGAGATGGGGTGCTACTGACGACCCCTGAAGAGATCCCACTGAGGGGGGCGGGCGGCGGGATCTAAGGAAGAAGGGTTCCTTTTCGAGGTCTTCGTGAGAGGAGGACAAAACCGCTTCCAAATCCCTCCGACGAGCTGCCACCGCCACTTCTCCACCGCCGTGAGGGAGAAGCAAAGCGAAGCGAAGCGAGGCGAAGCTCCGACGGCTCCTGCCTTAACTTCCTCTTCGGAAGGGGACTTCCCCCACCCGCCTGCCGGCTGAGGTAAGGGGCGATATCTGGGCGAGATCTGGGACGAAGGCACAGCTTTGCCTTTGGGGAAAGCGGCGGCGGCGACGGCCCGCCTCTGATCCCGCCTTCAACCTCGGCGGGGGTGGCCTGCCTGCCTTCCTTTCTTCCTTTCTTCCTTTCAGTTTCCTCCCGACCTCTTGAGTTTAAACGGCCTTTTTAAAATAAATCTGAGCGCGGCGGGGGGGGGTGGAAGGAAGGCA